GAGAGGTGTTAAGATGTGCCTGGTTGTTTCCTCTCTGCTGTTTGTTGTTGTAATTTTAGAGTTTTTTTAATACTGGTAGCCAGATTTTGTTCATTTTCATGGTTTCCTTTCTGTTGAAACTGTCCACATGCTTGCGGATTTCAATGGCTTCTCTGTGTAGTCTGACATGGTGGTTGGTAGAGTGGTCCAGCATTTCTGTGTTCTCAAATAATATGCTGTGTCCAGGCTTGTTCATCAGGTACTCTGCTATGGCTGACTTCTCTGGTTGAAGTAGTCTGCAGTGCCTTTCATGTTCCTTGATTCGTGTTTGGGCACTGTGTTTGGTGGTCCCTATGTAGACATAGTTTCATCTATGCTGATGATCATGCCATCACCGCTCAAGCAGGGAGATTTGAGATGGTTGAACAGAAGCTCTCCGAAGCTCTAGCTGCTCTTACTGCCTATTACAGGGAAACCAGCTGATCCCTAATCCATCTAAAACACAGACATGTGCCTTTCATCTCAAGAACAGAGAAGCATCCCGAGCGCTGAGGATGACCTGGGAAGGAATCCCACTGGAGCATTGCAGCGCACCCAAATACCTGGGAGTCACTCTGGACCGTGCTCTGACCTACAAGAAGCACTGCCTGAACATCAAGCAAAAAGTGGGTGCTAGAAACAATATCATACGAAAGCTGACTGGCACAACCTGGGGATCACAACCAGATACAGTGAAGACATCTGCCCTTGCGCTTTGCTACTCTGCTGCTGAGTATGCATGCCCAGTGTGGAACACATCTCGCCACAGTAAAACAGATGTGATTCTGAATGAGACATGCCTCATTATCATGGGGTGCCTGTGCCCTACACCACTGGAGAAATTATACTGCTTAGCCGGTTTTGCACTACCTGACATCCGCTGGGAAGTAGCAACCAATAGTGAAAGGACCAAAGCAGAGACATCTCCAGCTCATCTCTTGTTTGGGTATCAGCCAGCACGCCAACAACTAGTTTCCTAAGATCTACAGAGACACTTGCTGGAACACCTCAGCAAGCGAGAGTCCAAAAGTGGCAGGCTCAAACCCAGAGCCTCAATCCATGGCTGATACCGAATGAGAAACTCCCTCCTGGGCACACAGAAGACGGGGCAACTTGGAAGGCACTGAACAGACTGCGCTCTGGCACCACGAGATGCAGAGCCAACCTTAAGAAATGGGGCCACAAAGTGGAATCCACGACATGCGAGTGTGGAGAAGAGCGAACTACAGATCACCTGCTGCAATGCAACCAGAGCCCTGCCACATGCAGAAGGGAGGACCTTCTTGCGGCAACATCAGAGGCACTCCAAGTGGCCAGATACTGGTCAAGGGACATTTAATCAACTACCAAACTTGCAAATTTTGTTTTTTCTGTTTGTTTTTGTTAAAAATGTAATACAAATGTCTGGTTGCTGATGACACGATAAATAAATACCAAGTCATGACAACACGTCTTCCTTAAACTAGACCTGAGGAAAGCAGATAATCCCTGTTCTCTTTCCATAACGCAAAGGAATGAGGGGAAAACATGAGTGCGTATGTGTCAGTAAGTAGAGCTGTTCAACAATGGAACTTTCTGTCTCGGAGTCTCAGTGGAAGCTCTTTCTTTGGAGGCTTTTAAACAGCCTGAATGGCCATCTGCCAGGAGGGCCTTGATTGCCTCTTCCTGCCTGGTAGAACGGGGCTGGACTGGATGGCCCCTGGAGTCTCTTCCAACTCTTATGATTCCAGGTAGGGCAAACCCAGGGCCTTTTTTCTCAGGATCTCCTCCCTCTCACCATCTTATCCTTCCTTCCTGTTCTATTTAAGAAATAAATTAAAAAATGTTGAATTTAAATTAAATAAATTTAAAATATTTATAATTAATATAATAATATTTTGTATATAATTACAAATTTATAATTAATTAAAATAATATGGTATATAGTAAACTTAATATTTTATAATTAATTAATAATTGAATTTATAATTAATATTAAATGTGTCTATAATTCTAATTAATTAATTGATATTTCATAAATAAATAAAATAAAAATTAAAATAATTTAATTAATACTTAAATTTTTAAGTAATTCAATATTGTATATAAATAATTTTATAATTAATTAGATGTATTTTAATTAATCAAAATATATTTATAATTCAATTCTTGTATGGAATACTAAATACATTAAGTAATTAATTTGGTATTTACCTTCCTCACCTTCTACTAATTCAACTTTGTCTTTACCTCCTACCACTTTCTCATTCCCTTCTGTCTTTAATCATTCCCTTTTGTCTTTACTTTCTATCCTTATACTTATATATTAATTTTACTTTACTTCGTTCTACTCTCATTTCCGTCCTTAATTCCTTTTGTATTTCATTACTTCACTTATATAATTTACATTGGTCTTTACTTAATACATTAGACTTCACCTTAATGTCTTTCATTACTTCAATTTTGTCTTTCCATTCCCCTTTCTCCTCTCCCATTCCCTTTTGTCCTTCCTTTCCTTCCTCCTCCCTCTTCCTCTTTCTCCTTTACTTCCTTCCCTTTTGTCTTTCCTTCTCTTCCTTCCTCCTTCCTTTTCTTTCCTTCCTTCCCCTTCCTCCTCTTCTTTTTCTTTCCTTCCCTCTTTCCTTCCCTCCTTCCCTTTTGTCTTTCCTTCTCTCTTTCCTTCCCTTTTGTCTTTCATTCCTTCTCTCTTCTTTCTCTCTCCCCCCTCTTTCCTTCCTCCCTTTTTTCTTTCATTCCCTCATATACCTTGACATATGTGAGTTGTAGTTACTGGAATGTATAGTTCACCTACAATCAAAGAGCATTCTGAACTCCACCAATGATGGAATTGAACCAAATATGGCACACAGAACTCCCACGACGAACAGAAAATATATATCAGTGATCTGGAATTCAAGGTTTGGCTGCTTCCTGCTTGGGTGAATCCTTTGTTGGGAGGTGTTAGCTGGCCGTAATTGTTTCCTATCTGGAATTCAAGGTTTGGCTGCTTCCTGCCTGGGTGAATCCTTTGTTGGGAGGTGTTAGCTGGCCCTAATTGTTTCCTATCTGGAATTCAAGGTTTGGCTGCTTCCTGCCTGGGTGAATCCTTTGTTGGGAGGTGTTAGCTGGCCTTAATTGTTTCCTATCTGGAATTCAAGGTTTGGCTGCTTCCTGCCTGGGTGAATCCTTTGTTGGGAGGTGTTAGCTGGCCCTAATTGTTTCCTATCTGGAATTCGAGGCTTGGCTGCTTCCTGCTTGGGTGAATCCTTTGTTGGGAGGTGATAGCTGGCCCTAATTGTTTCCTATCTGGATTCAAGGTTTGGCTGCTTCCTCCCTGGGTGAATCCTTTGTTGGAGGTGTTAGCTGGCCCTAATTGTTTCCTATCTGGAATTCAAGGCTTGGCTGCTTCCTGCCTGGGTGAATCCTTTGTTGGGAGGTGTTAGCTGGCCCTAATTGTCTCCTATCTGGAATTCAAGGTTTGGCTGCTTCCTGCTTGGGTGAATCCTTTGTTGGGAGGTGTTAGCTGGCCGTAATTGTTTCCTATCTGGAATTCAAGGTTTGGCTGCTTCCTGCCTGGGTGAATCCTTTGTTGGGAGGTGTTAGCTGGCCCTAATTGTTTCCTATCTGGAATTCAAGGTTTGGCTGCTTCCTCCCTGGGTGAATCCTTTGTTGGAGGTGTTAGCTGGCCCTAATTGTTTCCTATCTGGAATTCAAGGTTTGGCTGCTTCCTGCCTGGGTGAATCCTTTGTTGGGAGGTGTTAGCTGGCTCTAACTGTTTCCTATCTGGAATTCAAAGTTTGGCTGCTTCCTGCTTGGGTGAATCCTTTGTTGGGAGGTGTTAGCTGGCCCTGATTGTTTCCTATCTGGAATTCAAGGTTTGGCTGCTTCCTGCCTGGGTGAATCCTTTGTTGGGAGGTGTTAGCAGGCTCCAACTGTTTCCTATCTGGAATTCAAGATTTGGCTGCTTCCTGCCTGGGTGAATCCTTTGTTGGGAGGTGTTGTCTGGCTCTAACTCTTTCCTATCTGGAATTCAAACCTTGGCTGCTTCCTGCTTGGGTGAATCCTTTGTTGGGAGATGTTATCTGGCCCTAATTGTTTCCTATCTGGAATTCAAGGTTTGGCTGCTTCCTGCCTGGGTGAATCCTTTGTTGGGAGGTGTTAGCTGGCCTTAATTGTTTCCTATCTGGAATTCAAAGTTTGGCTGCTTCCTGCCTGGGTGAATCCTTTGTTGGGAGGTGTTAGCTGGCCCTAATTGTTTCCTATCTGGAATTCAAGGCTTGGCTGCTTCCTGCTTGGGTGAATCCTCTGTTGGGAGGTGTTAGCTGGCCCTAACTGTTTCCTGTCTCGAATTCAAGGTTTGGCTGCATCCTGCTTGGGTGAATCCTTTGTTGGGAGGTGTTAGCTAGAAGTAATTGTTTCCTATCTGGAATTAAAGGTTTGGCTGCTTCCTGCCTGGGTGAATCCTTTGTTGGGAGGTGTTAGCTGGCTCTAACTGTTTCCTATCTGGAATTCAAAGTTTGGCTGCTTCCTCCCTGGATGAATCCTTTGTTGGGAGGTGTTAGCTGGCCCTAATTGTTTCTTATTTAGAATTCAAGGCTTGGCTGCTTACTGCTTGGGTGAATCCTTTGTTAGGAGGTGTTAGCTGGCTCTGTTTCCTATCTGGAATTCAAGGTTTGGCTGCTTCCTGCTTGGGTGAATCCTTTGTTGGGAGGTGATAGCTGGCCCTAATTGTTTCCTATCTGGATTCAAGGTTTGCCTGCTTCCTGCCTGGGTGAAACCTTTGCTGGGAGGTGTTAGCTGGCCCTGATTGTTTCCTATCTGGAATTCAAGGTTTGGCTGCTTCCTGCCTGGGTGAATCCTTTGTTGGGAGGTGTTACTTGGCCGTAATTGTTTCCTATCTGGAATTCAAGGTTTGTCTGCTTCCTGCCTGGGTGAATCCTTTGTTGGGAGGTGTTAGCTAATTGTTTCCTATCTGGAAATGAAGGAAGGTGAACTCAAGCAGCCAAGGCCACTAACTTTGCTTTTTTATTGCATGTGCAGCAGACAAAAAAAAAAAAAAGATGCAGCCTCAGAGCCGAACGAAATCAGACAACCAACGAATGATGAGCTTCCCGAGGACATCATCACAGGCCAGGAGAATTAAAACTGCAAGAAGGGAAAGAGAGAAGGAGGAGGAAGAGAAGAAGAGGGCAGCTCACAAGTGGGAAGAACTGCTGGGACAGGTCAACGAGCCATGATATTGGATAGGCCAGGCCCAGAAGGAGCTGACAGGATGGTCTGGTGTGAGCACACGCGTGTGCAAGTGACAAAAAAAAAGCCACACCCCACGGGACTGTACAAGTCTTTGCCTCCGGCAGAGGGGTGCGCCCCTTGGACGGCACTGCCCAGCATCCCAAAGTCCCAGCTGCCCTTTTCAACAGGGAAACGGAGGGAGGGCGCAGGATCAGAAACATCACCGAATGGCGATCAAACCGACGTCCATGAGCTTCTGGATTTTCTGAGCAATGACGGGATTCTTCAAGTGTCTGTGGAAAGAGAAGGAAGGGATTTGTCAAGAGTGACACCTCTCTCAAAGGACTGAACTTTGACCACGTTCCCACACGGGTCCAAACAGGATCATCATCATCATCATCATCATCATCATCATCATCATCAGATCACAGGAGCTGTCTTCATAGACATGTCAGCAGCCTATGACACTGTAAATCATTGCCTACTCCTGAGGAAAAATGATAATATCACAAAGGACGACCACCTCACCCACTTCATAGGAAATCTGCTACAAAACAGGAGCTTTTTTGTTGAGTTCCAGGGCCAGAGAAGCAGATGGCGGAAACAGAAGAACGGCCTGCCTCAGGGAGCGTGCTTGCTCCATCCATGTTCAACATCTACACAAATGACCAGCCACTGCCAGAAGGGACAGAGAGATTCATTTATGCTGATGATCGTGCCATCACCACTCAAGCAGGGAGCTTTGAGATGGTTGAACAGAAAGCTCTCGAAGCTCTAGGTGCTCTTACTGCCTATTACAGGGAAAACCAGCTGATCCCTAACCCATCTAAAACACAGACATGTGCCTTTCATCTCAAGAACAGAGAAGCATCCCGAGCTCTGAAGATCACCTGGGAAGGAATCCCACTGGAGCATTGCAGCGCACCCAAATACCTGGGAGTCACTCTGGACCGTGCTCTTGACCTACAAGAAGCACTGCCTGAACATCAAGCAAAAAGTGGGTGCCAGAAACAATATCATACGAAAGCTGACTGGCACAACCTGGGGATCACAACCAGACACAGTGAAGACATCTGCCCTTGCGCTATGCTACTCTGCTGCTGAGTACGCATGCCCAGTGTGGAACACATCTCACCACACTAAAACAGTGGATGTGGCTCTTAATGAGACATGCCACATTGTCACGGGGTGTCTGCGCCCTACACCACTGGAGAAATTACACTGCTTAGCCGGTATTGCACCACCTGACATCCGCCGGGAAGTAGCAGCCAACAGTGAAAGGACCAAGGCAGAGACATCTCCAGCTCATCCCTTGTTTGGGTATCAGCCAGCACGTCAACGACTTAAAGCAAGAAATAGTTTTCTAAGATCTACAGAGACACTCGCTGGAACACCTCAGCAAGCGAGAGTCCAAAAGCGAGAGTCCTAATTGTTTCCTATCTGGAATTCAACATTTGGCTGCTTTCTGCCTGGGTGAATCCTTTGTTGGGAGGTGTTCACTGGCTCTAACGGTTTCCTATCTGGAATTCAAGGTTTGGCTGCTTCCTGGACGAATCCCTAGTTGCCTAGTCTCTAACAAACTTCACAACCTCTGAGGATGCCTGCCATAGATGTGGGGGAAATGTCAGGAGGGAATGCTTCTGGAACATGGTCATATAGCCGGAAAACTCACAGCAACCCAATGATTCCAGCCATGAAAGCCTTCGATAACACAATTCAACATATAGTTTGTGGCAGCCACAAAAACTATGTTTCTGGAGTAGAACAACTACTTTCAAAGTAAGTACCATACAATTAAATAGGAAATAACACTTTCCAAACAGAAAGAGAAGATTTCTCAAATTTACATAGTGTAATTTACATATTGGAAATATTTTGGGGGATTTAATGCAGGCCGAAGTCCAAAACACTTGGAAGTTTACCCATGCCTGACACCCTTTTGGGATCCTCCCTATGCAATGAAAGCAGAACTCAGCCCCACATGTGTGTGTGTTTGCTCTGCCCACACTTACTCGCTTAGGGCTTGCGGGTCTTTCTGCATCTGTTCAAGGATCAGTCTCATGGCCGGGTCGCTCATGATCTGCTGCACCTCGGGGTCGGCCATGGCCCGGCGCTTCACATCCTCAGGGTTGTCGTTGCGGTTGTACTGGGACATGAGGCAGCGCTGGTAGCCCTCGGCAGCTTCCTATAGGACAGAGGGTCAAACTCGTTTTCATCAAGGACCACATCCACCTTGTGGTTGCCTTCAAAGGACCACTGAACAGTGGAAACAGGGTTTGATATAGTGGTCAGTGCTCCTTAGTTTTATCCAACAAGAAATGGGAAGCCCTGGCTTTTGAGTGCTCTAACTGGAGGTCAGCTGTGACTAGCAGTGCTGCGCAATTCAAAGAAGCACGAATGGAGGGCAAAAGGGAGAAACGTGCCAAGAGGAAGGTGTGTCAAGCCAACCCTGACCAGGACCACCTTCTGTCTGCAAACCGATGTCTTCACTGAGGAAGAGCATGCGGGTCAAGAATAGGGCTCCACAGTCACCTACGTATCCACCTACAGCAAGACCCTACACTTGGAAGCCCATCATACACAATGAAGGATTGCCTAAGTTAGTAAGTATTAATGATAATGATAATAATATCCTGCTTCATCTCTCCCAAGGGAGTCTCAGAGAAGCTCATAATAATAATAATAATAATAATAATAATAATATTTTTTAATCGTGTCAGGAGTGACTTGAGAAACTGCAAGTCACTTCTGGTATGAGAGAATTGGCCGTCTGCAAGGAGGTTGCCCAGGTGACGCCTGGATGATTTGATGTTTTTATCATCCTTGTGGGAGGCTTTTCTCATGTCCCCGCATGAGGAGCTGGAGCTGATAGAGGGAGCTCATCCGTCTCTCCCCGGATTCGAACCTGCGACCTGTTGGTCTTCAGTCCTGCCGGCACAGGGGTTTAACCCACTGCGCCACTGGGGGCTCCACATAATAATAATAATAATCATCATCATCATCATCATCATCATCATCATCATCATCATCTATATAAATAAAAATATAATGTTCGTTTGTGGGATTAACAGAACTCAAAAACAAGTGGGCTAATTGACACCAAATTTGGACAGCATACACCTAACAACCCAATGTACGCCCTTCACTCAAAATTTTTTGATTTTGTCATTTGGGAGTTGTAGTTCTTGGGATTTATGGTTCACCTACAATCAAAGAGCATTCTGAACTCCACCAATGATAGAATTGAACCAAAGGTGACACACAGAACTCCCATGAGCAACAGAAAACACTAGGTTTGGTGGGCATTGTCCTTGAGTTTGGGAGTTGTAGTTCACCTACATCCAGAGAGCACTGTGGACTCAAACAATGATGGATCTGGACCAAACTCAGCACGAATATTCCACATGCCCAAATATGAACACAGATTGAGTTTGGGGGAAATAGACCTCAACATTTGCGAGTTGTCGTTACTGGGATTTATAGTTCACCTACAATCAAAGAGCATTCTGAATCCCACCAACAACAGAATTGGGGCAAACTTCCCACACAGAACCTCCATAACCAACAGAAAATACTTAAGGCCATCCAGTCCACCTCCCTTCACCAGGGCAAGAAAACGTAATCAGAGCCCTCCTGACAAAGAGCCATCCAGACATAGATATAGATAGAATCATAGAATCAAAGAGTTGGAAGAGACCTCATGGGCCATCCAGTCCAACCCCCATTCTGCCAAGAAGCAGGAATATTGCATTCAAATCACCCCTGGCAGATGGCCATCCAGCCTCTGTTTAAAAGCTTCCAAAGAAGGAGCCTCCACCACACTCCGGGGCAGAGAGTTCCACTGCTGAACGGCTCTCACAGTCAGGAAGTTCTTCCTCATGTTCAGATGGGTATATATGATTCACACACACGCAGATATAGTATCATAGATTTGAAAGGGACCCCTAAAGAAGGACAAATATATGTTCCATGTTCCAGGGTGGGCAAACCAGGCACTCTCCACATCAACACTGACAAAGAAACAGCAAGAAATACTGTTTACCCACAAAGAAATTAAATATATTAGAAACCAATACTTTCTAATTACTTTATTTTCCAGATCACCAAACTGGACCACAGCAACATGTGGCAGGGGACAGCTAGTACATACATAAACATTTAAAACATTATCAAAATATTAAAATACACCATTAAAACCGTCCTAAGTTAGTAAATATTAATGATAATGATAATAATATCCTGGTCGCTTCTGTGACCTGACACGACAAATAAAAAAAAAAAAAACATCCTTCTTCTTCTCTCCTAAGGGAGTCTCAGAGAAGCTCATAATAATAATAATAATAATAATAATAATAATAATAATAATAATAATAATAATAAGTCCTAGACGCTTGGGAAGTGTTTGACTTGTGATTTTGTGATACGAAATCCAGCATATAGATCTCGTTTGCTGTGACATACTGTGCTTTTGTGTCAATAATAATAATAATAATAATAATAATAATAATAATGATATCCCACCAAAAGCTCACCTTGCAGTTGGAGTCCAGTTCTAGGGCTTTCTGATAGACATCCATGGCTTTGGTATAATCCTTCATGGCTTCCAGTGCCGCCGCTTTGCGCGTGTATCCCTTAACTGAAAATCAACACCGGTCCTTTAAGCATGAGATCCCACACCCAGATGGACCACATTTCCCCCTTCTCTCCTCAATTCAGGGCGAGTTCCACAAGAGAAGAGGCCACTAGGGACTTGTAAACAATTTTAAACCCCAGTCTCTTTCCATCCCTTTGACTCGAGATCCTTTCTTTTCTTTTCCAATCCCACCCTTCAAAGCCGACCCAATTCCATGTACTTACTGAAGGTGGGTTCTAGGCGAATACATTCTTCACAGTCCTGCAGGAGGAAGAGAACACCAGTTTGAGAGACCCAGGCAACTCTTCTCCAGTCCTTTCAACCAAACTAGTTTAGTCACTTAATTCTTGGCATTGCCTTCTTTGCCATGTGGGGAATAGGAAGCTGGGCATTGTCACGTCTCAATTTCTATGTGATCTATATGATCTGCTGGCAAACCTTACTGTCCGGATCTATAGCTTTCTGACGAAGAAATTTCCTCACGAACAAAGTGGGAAGGCTTTATTCAAAAGCATACATTACAGTATGCAACAAAATTCCAACTGCCAGTTTATTTCCCTCGCGCCTCTTATCCCTCATGCTGGCCACTTCCCCTCATTGCTCCCATTTCTATGGCAATCTTCACCATTGTTTCAAATATACACAGGCCAGCTTTAAGGCATGGCCTAATTTCCTAATTTGTTGCATACATTACAGTACGCAACAAAATTCCAACTGCCAGTTTATTTCCCTCGCGCTTCCTATCCCTCACGCTGGCCACTTCCCCTCATTGCTCCCATTTCCATGGTAATCCTCACCCTTGTTTCAAATATACACAGGCCAGCTCTAAGGCATGGCCTAATTTCCTGGCTTCACACCAAACTTTACTGTCTGGATTTGAAGCTTTCTGACGAAGAAATTTCCTCACGAACAAAGTGGGAAGGCTTTATTCAAAAACATGCATTAGGGTATGCAACAAAATTCCAACTGCCAGTTTATTTTCCTCGCGCCTCCTATCCCTCACGCTGGGCACTTCCCCTTGTTGCTCCCATTTCCATGGCAATCCTCACAGGCCAGCTCTAAGGCATGGCCTAATTTCCTGGCTTCACACCAAACTTTACTGTCCGGATCTGTAGCTTTATGATGAAGAAATTTCCTCATGAACAAAGTGGGAAGGCTTTATTCAAAAGCATACATTACAGTACGCAACAAAATTCCAACTGCCAGTTTATTTCCCTCCTGCATCCTATCCCTCACGCTGGCCACTTCCCCTCATTGCTCCCATTTCCATGGCAATCCTCACCATTGTTTCAAATATACACAGGCCAGCTCTAAGGCATGGCCTAATTTCCTGGCTTCACACAAAACCAGGTCATGACACTTACTGCAATTCAAATGCATGATGTAGGAGCCAAAAGGCGAAAAAGTCCCAAGGCCTTGAAAGCCTGATATGATCACCAATATGCTTTTGAAAACAAGAAAGAAGAAACTCAGAAACAGTCTCAGATGCCTGAGTTGGCAGTGTTTCAAATTAAGAGTGATATCTGCTTGCATGTGTGATGGATCAAAATATATGATGTACTAGCTGTTCCCTGCCACGCATTGCAGTGGCCTATAGTAAGAGTTTTCAAAGTAGAGGTAGATATCTGGACTATTATGAAAGAGAGGTACCACCTTTCCTTCCCTCCTTTTTCTTCCCCTTTCCTTTTCTCTCCTTTCTTCCTTCTCTACCTCTATCTTTCATTCCTTCTTTCGCTCTTTGGTTTCATCCTTCCTTCTCTCTTTCCTTCCTCCCCTCCCCCTTTCTCTACTTCATCTCCTTACTTCCCTCCTTCCTTCCTTCTTTCACTTTTTATTTCCTTTTCTCTTTCCTTCCTTCTTTACCTCTTTCCTGCCTTTCCTTCCCTTTTTCTTTCCTTTGTACTTTCTCTTCTTCCTTCCTTCCCTCTTTCCTTCTTTCCCTCCCTTCTTCTCTCTTTCCTTCTTCCCCCTATCCCTCTTTCATTCCTTTCTCTTTTTCCCTCCCTCCTTTCTTCTCTCCTTCCTTCCTGTCTGTTCTCCCCCAATACCATGGTAGAGTCCCTTCTAACTCTATTCTATGAGTCTATTTAATATAGTAATATGTAGTAGTAACATTATATTATATAGTAGTATATATAACAATAATATATATAATATATACTATATAGCAATATATAATAGTAATAGCTCAGATCACGAACTTCTTATTGCTCAATTTAGAATAAAACTAAAGAGATCAGGGAAAATACACAGACCAGTTAGATATGATCTCACTAACATTCCTAGCGAATATGCAGTGGAAGTGAAAACAGATTTGAAGGACTAGATTTAGTAAACAGAGTCCCAGAAGAACTATGGACAGAAGTCCGCGACATTGTTCAGGAGGCGACAACAAAGTACGTCCCAAAGAAAAAGAAAACCAAGAAGGCAAAATGGTTGTCTGCTGAGACACTGGAAGTAGCCCAAGAAAGGAGGAAAGCAAAAGGAAACAGGGATAAGGGGAGATATGCCCAGTTAAATGCGCAATTCCAGAGGTTAGCCAGAAGAGATAAGGAACTATTTTTAAATAAGCAATGCATGGAAGTGGAAGAAGACAACAGAAAAGGAAGGACAAGAGACCTCTTCCAGAAAATTAGAAACATTGGAGGTAAATTTCAGGCAAAAATTGGTATGATAAGAAACAAAGATGGCAGGGACCTAACAGAAGCTGAAGAGATCAAGAGAAGGTGGCGAGACTATACAGAAGATCTGTATAGGAAGGATAATAATATTGAGGATAGTTTTGACGGTGTGGTGAATGAATTAGAACCAGACATCCTGAGGAGTGAAGTTGAATGGGCCTTAAGAAGCATTGCTAACAACAAGGCAGCAGGAGACGACGGGATCCCAGCTGAACTGTTTAAAATCTTAAAAGATGATGCTGTCAAGGTGATGCATGCCATTTGCCAGCAAATATGGAAAACACAAGAATGGCCATCAGACTGGAAAAAATCAAATTATCCCCATACCAAAAAAGGGAAATGCGAAAGACTGCTCAAACTTCCGTACAGTGGCCCTTATTTCTCATGCCAGTAAGGTAATGCTCAAGATCCTGCAAGGAAGACTCCAGCAACACATGGAGCGAGAGTTGCCAGATGTTCAAGCTGGGTTTAGAAAAGGCAGAGGAACGAGAGACCAGATTGCCAATATCTGCTGGATAATGGAGAAAGGCAGGGAGTTTCAGAAAAACATCTATTTCTGTTATTGACTATTCCAAAGCCTTTGACTGTGTGGATCATAATAAATTGTGGCAAGTTCTTAGTGGTATGGGCATACCAAATCACCTTGTCTCTCTCCTGAGGAATCTGTACAAGGACCAAGTAGCAACAGTCAGAACTGACCATGGAACAACAGACTGGTTCAAGATTGGGAAAGGCGTACGGCAAGGCTGCATCCTCTCACCCAACCTTTTTAACTTGTATGCAGAACACATCATGCGATGTGAGGGGCTGGATGAATGCAAAGCTGGGGTGAAAATTGCTGGAAGAAACATTAACAACCTCAGATATGCAGATGACACCACTCTGATGGCCGAAAGCGAGGAGGAGCTGAGGAGCCTTCTAATCAAGGTGAAAGAAGAAAGCGCAAAAGCCGGGTTGCAGCTAAACGTCAAAAAAACCAAGATTATGGCAACAAGAATGATTGACAACTGGAAAATCGAAGGAGAAACCGTGGAGGCCGTGACAGACTTTGTATTTCTAGGTGCAAAGATTACTGCAGATGCAGACTGTGGCCAGGAAATCAGAAGACGCTTCCTTCTTGGGAGGAGAGCAATGTCCAGTCTCGATAAAATAGTGAAGAGTAGAGACATCAGACTGGCAACAAAGATCCATTGCCTAGTCAAAGCCATGGTATTCCCTGTAGTAACCTACGGATGTGAGAGCTGGACCTTAGGGAAGGCTGAGCGAAGGAAGATGATGCTTTTGAGCTGTGGTGTTGGAGGAAAGTTCTGAGAGTGCCTTGGACTGCGAGAAGATCCAACCAGTCCATCCTCCAGGAAATAAAGCCAGACTGCTCACTGGAGAGAAGGATACTAGAGACAAAGTTGAAGTACTTTGGCCACATCATGAGGAGACAGGAAAGCCTAGAGAAGACAATTATGCTGGGGAAAGTGGAAGGCAAAAGGAAGAGGGGCCGACCAAGGGCAAGATGGATGGATGGCATCCTTGAAGTGACTGGCTTGACCTTGAGGGAGCTGGGGGTGGTAACGGCCGCCAGGGAGCTCTGGCGTGGGCTGGTCCATGAGGTCACGAAGAGTCGGAGACGACTGAACGAATGAACAACAACATATATATCACACCAACCAGTGATCCAACATTCTTACATGTGTGTGTGCGTGCGTCTACACTGCCATATAATCCAGTCCTAAGTAGATAATCTGGATTTTACATGGCAGGATGGAAGGTTTGACTTTGGGTGCATCTACACTGTAGATTTAATAAAGGAGGATGAAGCTGGTGAGGGGGGGGGGGGGGGAAAAAGGAAGGAAAGGAAGGGAAGTAGAGAAAGGGAGGAAGGGAAGGAAGGAGGGGGTTGGACTGGATGGCCTTTAGGGCTCCCTTCCAACTGGTTGGCCATCTGTTGTGAGGGCTTTGATGGTGTCTTCCTTTACTGCCAAATGAGGTTGGGCTGGATGGTCTTTGGGGCTCCTTTCCAAGCAATGTCAGTTTTGTGTGTCCCTATTACCCCCATCATGGCACCTTCCTCCTTCCCTTGTGCTGTGGGAGTGTGTGTGGGAGACAGAGAGTCAGAGTGTGTGCACACAGTATGGCCCGCCTCCCTCTTTTTCCCCCCCCCCTCAGCCCCCCCCCCCCATAGATAGATTTGATAAATGTGGGTATGAATGAACTGAATGAAAGGAATGAGTGAATGAGAGCTAATAATTTTGGAGATACCATCCTAAGGAATGAGGCTTGGAAAACTATAAGGAGGTGAAGATTTCATGGATGGACTGTAATTAAAAGTTGCTGAACTGCTAACATTTGTTGACCAGTGATTAACTGCTGACACTGCTGACTTGATTAACTTTTGGGGGGAAACAACGTATTTACATTACCAGAGACAATGGCTCTTTAAGTTAAAGAAATGTTTACAAGGTTCCTTACGTTAGGAAGGAAGTCAACACAAGGCTCCTTACGTTTACCAACACCAATTAAGAAGAGTCAACAACGTCTGCCAGGAACTAAGATGAAACCAGGATGTATCAGGATGGAAAAACATCTATCATTAATTTACGACTGTAGCGAAATTGCTACTCTATGTTAAATTTTTGGTGTATAGTTTACATATGGCAGATAGGGAAGAATAGGCACAGACAGGGTAGCAACAGCAGAGATAGGATTCATTTGCATATGGAAGCCGATTGGCCATATGCAGATTAGCATAGGCCCAGGATTTGAAAAGGTTGCTAGGCCAAAATGACAGTTGGGAAGAGCAGAGCTAAACATTCCAAAGGGGCGGAGCCAACGTTTAAAAAATAGGCAGTTAAAGAGTCAAAAGAGTGAGTTAGGAATTGCAGTTTGTGAGATGAGTTAGGGATTCCTGTTTGTGAGAGACAGTTAGGAACTTCTGTGAGAGAAAAGAGTTAGAAACTCCTGTTAGAAATAAGTAGTTATGCAGATATGTTAAAGACTTCTGATATATAGAAGCAGTTAGTTAAATAGAGCTCAAGTTTTAGGAACATAAAGAAAGCCAGTGGTGCTTTAGTCAGAATATAATTTCAGTCAAGAGTGTGTAAAGCAAGTAACATGTTTGTGAATGTGAAACATTGAAAGTCTATTTCAGAAAAGTAAACCAAGTATATTATAATGACTGTAAGCCTCAAGATTGCAACAAAACACAAATGTAACCACAAGCATTGAAACCAGAAGTTATAAATAAACTGTGTTACTTTGTTATACAGAAGTGTGTCTCAGTGCCTGTAAAGGTTAAACAGCACACAGAAAGTCCCAGCCAAGATAAAAAAAGAAACTGAATCATTATAAGAGTAAAAAGGTTTTTAAATAAAGAAATAGTCTCCCTCCCTCGCTACAACAACTTTGGAACAACATCACCAAGAAATATTGCTATGTAAGAGACTTTCTAATATTCCAAAACTGTGTCAGACAACTGTGCTTTTCACCCGCCATGCTCTGATCCTTAGTGTACCTTGGGAGAGCAAGATGGGGAAAACAAGGCTCTGACAGAAGTTTTGAAATCATGTTGAGTCACTTTCTCGAAATCACTGAGCCACGCAGCTTGGCACAAGTGATCACATCTAGGAATTCCTGATATGGGGAACTATATAGGGTTTTTTTTGGGAGGGAGATTTACTGGCTTAGAAACACTTACCTTTAGTGCTAACGGGAACTCCAGCAATTTAGTATAGCAGGCAGCTCTGTTGCTGTACAGTTTGGCATCGTTGGGGTTGCGCTTGATGGCTTCTGTGTAGTGCTTCATGGCCTGTGGATAGTCCCCTGCGAAAAAGGACAGAAAAATTCAAATAATCCTCAGATTGTGTTGTCGAAGGCTTTCATGGCCAGATCACTGGGTTGCTCTGAGTTTTCTGAGCTGTATGGCCATGTTCCAGAAGCATTCTCTCCTGACATTACACCCACATCTGTGGCGGGAATCCTCAGAGGCAAGTGGGGTTTATACATCTGTGGAATGTCCAGGGTGGGGGAAAAGAACTCTTGTCTGTTGGAGGCAAGCGTGAATGTTGTAATTAGCATTGAATGGCCTGCCTGTTAATTGTTTTTATTCGGAATATGTGGCCCGCCCATTGTCATCTCTATTGTGATTGTGTCTATTGGAATTTTTATATTATTATTATTATTATTATTATTGTCATTTTGATAATGTTGTTGTTGTCTGTTGTATATGGTTTGATTTTATTGCTGTATTATGTTGTCTGGGCTTGGCCCCATGTAAGCCGCTCCGAGTCCCCATCGGGGAGATGGTGACAGGGTAGAAATAAAGATTATTATTATTATTACCTTTTACAACAATAAATCCACACAAAAGAAAGAAAGAGGTCCTTGCCTTTCTGGAAGAACTCGTTGCCTTTGTTTTTCTCCTCCAGAGCTAGTTCGGGGTTGATATAGGCGACCCTCTCCTGTTCTTTCAAGATTTTTTCAGCCTGGAAAAGAAAACACGGTCAGTCTCTCTAGCTTGTGGCAATGAAGATTATATATATACTAGCTTTCCCCTGCCACGCGCTGCTGTGGCCCAGTCTGGTGATCTGGATAATAAAGTAACGAGAAAGTGTTGGTTTCTAATATATGTAATTTCTTAATGCTTGTGGGTAAATAGTATTTCTTGTTGGTTCTTTGTCAGTGTTTATGTAGAGATTGTCTGGTTTGCCTACTCCACGATCGCTCCAGAACGTCCCCTCTCAAGTAACCGAGCTAAACCAGCCCCTTGGTTTACTGAGGAGCTGGCAGCGATGAAGCGAAAGAAGAGGGAACTAGAGAGCGTGTGGCGTTCAGATCCGAGCGAGCCAAATCGAACACGGTTTATGTCCTTTTTAAGGGCATACGCCGCGGCAATAAAAGCCGCAAAGAAGACATTCTTTGCGGCCAATATTGCGTCTGCGAAGAACCGTCCGGCTGAGCTGTTCCGAGTTGTCAGAGGCTTATTAAAACCCACCATTCAGGATGGGTGCCCTGATGACTCGGCAGCCCGCTGCGAAGCGTTTGCTCAGTTCTTTGCAGGACAAAGTTGCTTTGATCCATTCTGGTCTGGACACCATGTTAACGGCAGTCTCTGAGGATATAACACGAGCATCTGCTTGCCCAATTTTGATGGATTCATTTCAATTGGTGAAACCCAAGGATTTGGACAAGATACTTGGAGGGATGAGAGTGACCACATGCATTCTAGACCCCTGCCCATCCCGGCTTTTAAAGAAGGCCAGAGGGGGATTGGCCGAGTGGGTGAAGGTGGTGGTTAATGCCTCCCTTCGGGAGGCAAAATTCCAGCCAGCTTAAAGCAAGCTGTGATAAAACCGCTGTTGAAGAAACCATCACTGGACCCCACTCAATTCGTCAACTATCGGCCTGTTTCCAATCTCCCCTTTTTGGGCAAAGTCATGGAACGTGTGGTGGCCTTACAACTCCAGGCATTCTTGGTAGACACGGATTATCTGGATCCGGCACAGTCTGGCTTTAGGCCGGGGCATGGTACCGAGACAGCCTTGGTCGCCTTAGTGGATGATCTGCGTCGGGGGCTCGACAGGGGGAGTGTGTCCCTGTTGGTGCTGCTCGACCTCTCAGCGGCCTTCGATACCGTCGACCACGGTATCCTTCTGGGACGCCTCGCGGGGATGGGTCTTGGAGGTACTGTTTTGCAGTGGCTCCGCTCATTCCTCGAGGGTCGGTCTCAGAAGGTGTTACTGGGAGACTCCTGTTCAACCCCACAACCTTTGTCTTGTGGGGTTCCTCAGGGTTCAATACTGTCTCCCATGTTGTTTAACATCTACATGAAGCCGCTGGGCGAGATCATCCGGAGTTTCGGAGTGCGATGTCATCTGTACGCAGATGATGTCCAACTCTGTCACTCCTTTCCACCTGCTACTAAGGAGGCTGTCGAGGTCCTGAACCGGTGCTTGGCCGCTGTGACGGTCTGGATGGGAGCGAACAAATTGAAATTGAATCCAGACAAGACAGAGGTACTCCTGGTCAGTCGTAAGGCCGAACAGGGTATGGGGTTACAACCTGTGTTGGATGGGGTCGCACTCCCCCTGAAGACACAGGTTCGCAGCTTGGGTGTAATCTTGGACTCATGAGCCTGGAACCTCAGGTTTCAGCGGTGACCAGGCGAGCATTCGCACAGTTAAAACTTGTGCGCCAGCTGCGCCCGTACCTTGGGAAGTCTGACTTGGTCACAGTAGTCCACACTCTGGTTACATCCCGTATAGACTACTGCAACGCTCTCTACATGGGGTTGCTTTTGAAGACTGCTCGGAAGCTTCAAATGGACCAGCGTTCGACAGCCAGGTTGCTAACAGGAGCGGCACTCAGCGAACATTCAATATATATACCAGTCTAGTTATATAGTTATAAAGGCCAATTCAAAGTGCTGGCATTGGCCTTTAAAGCCCTAAACGGTTCTGGCCCAACATACCTATCCGAACGTATCTCGGCCTATCAGCCCACCAGGACCCTAAGGTCTTCAGGGGAGGCCCTTCTCTCTATCCCACCTGCTTCACAGGTGCGGCTCGTGGGAACGAGAGATAGGGCCTTTTCTGTGGTAGCCCCCCGGCTTTGGAATGCCCTCCCTGTAGAGATAAGATCTGCCTCTTCATTGATGGCATTTAGAAAAAAACTAAAAACATGGATGTTTCAACAAGCATTTGGTTAAAATAATGCAACGAAGTTAATGACCAAGGATCGGCAATCACGGACGATGAGATTGGATTACGTTTTTTTTAGTTAAGAGATGCTTCGATTGTATTGGTGGCCCAATACTGTTTATGGTATATGTTTTTTATGTTTTTTATGCTTTTAAATTGTATATTGTTGCTGTTTTAGTGATGTAAACCGCGTTGAGTCGCCATTGTAGGCTGAGAAACGGCGGTATACAAGAGTAGTAAATAAATAAATAAATAAATAATACTCTGGAATATGGAACATATCATAGTCCTTCTTTAAGGCTCTCTTTCAAATCTTTGATACTATATCTGTGTGTGTGTGTGTGTGTGAGAGAGAGAATCATATCTATCTACCTATATTTATGACTGGATGGCTCTTTGTCAGGAGGGCTCTGATTACATTTTCTTGCCCTGGTGAAGAGAGTTGGACTGGATGGCCTTAAGTATTTTCTGTTGGTCATGGAGGTTCTGTGTGGGAAGTGTGCCCCATTTCTGTTGTTTGTGGGTTTCAGAATGCTCTTTAATTGTAGTGAACTATAAATCCCAGTAACTACAAATCCCAAATGTCAAGGTCTATTTCCTCCAAACTCCATCTGTGTTCATATTTAGGCATATGGAATTTTTGTGTCAAGTTTGGTCCAGATCCATCATTGTTTGAGTCCACAGTGCTCTCTGGATGTAGGTGAACTACAACTCCCAAACTCAAGGTCAATGCCCACCAAACCCTTCCAGTGTGTTCTGTTGGGCATGGAAGTCCTGTATGCCATGTTTGGTTCAATTCCATCATTGGTGGAGTTCAGAATGCTCTTTGATTGTAGGTGAACTATAAATCCCAGCAACTATAACTCCCAAATGTCAAGGTCTATTTCCCTTAACTCCATCTGTGTTCATATTTGGGCATATGGAATATTCATGCCAAGTTTGGTCCAGATCCATCATTGTTTGAGTCCACAGTGCTCTCTGGATGTAGGTGAACTACAACTCCCAAACTCAAGGTCAATGCCACCAAACCCTTCCAGTTTTTTCTGTTGGTCATGGGAGCCCTGTGTGCTAAGTTTAGCCCAATTCCATCATTGGTGGAGTTCAGAATGCTCTTTGATTGTAGGTAAACTATAAATCCCAGCAACGATAATTCCCAAATGACAAAATCAATTTTTTTTGAGTGGAGGACATAAATTGGACTGTTAGCTGTCTTATGTCTAAATTTGGTGTCAATTCCTCCAGTGGTTTTTGAGTTCTGATGGTAGCACGAACTAACATTACATTTTTATTTATATAGATATATATATATACACACACACACACATATGCAGACTTGCCTGTTGACACTTTTTCAAGACGTCTGGAGTTCGGTGCTCGGCCAACGACTTGTTGAAGAACTGAATAGCTTCTTTATACCTTTCTTCCTTGAAGTAGGAATTGCCAATCCGGGCATAAGCTCTAAGATGGAAGAGAACATACCAAGCATGGAGTAGATGCCAAAAACTGATGTTCTGAATCAGGCATGGGGCAACTTGGGCCCTTCCTGATAGTATTTCCAACTGAGCAAGCCACTGAACATGTAGTTTTCCCTGACAATGTGGAAACTGGTGTTGATGCTGAGTTCAGCGGCGGGGAAAACGAAACTGAACAGCCGGATGAAAATGTTTTGGAATCCAGCTGGGATAGCTCTCCACCTGGATTTTTTTAATGAGGACCGAAGGGAACAGATAACTAGAGACAGGAGTGATTCACAGTTCCTACGAAGGTCAAATAGATTACAGGAGAGACAGACTCAGGCTTCAAAGTCAAGGGATAGTTTCTTTGGTATAAGGGCCGCCTGCCGGGTGCCTCCTTAGATCAAGCAACGTTTGGGACTGTGGCTGTGCCTTGGAAGAATTCCTGTGTTCCATGACCGGTAATCCCAGAGGCTTCTAGTTTTTCAAGTACATGGTTAGCGAGAGGCTAACAGGTTCCTGGTTCTTGTCTTGTGTTTTTTTTTTTTGGAAATTTTGCTCAAGTTCAGAGGTTTTCTTGACTGCTGTGTTTCTACGGTGGCTTTTTGACTTTGCATTTAACTTTCTTTTGTAACCAATTTTTCATCAATAAAAAAGGATTGTTTTTCCTACAGTCCAGTGTGGTGGATTTAATCTTATGGTCTCGTTTCTTGGTCTGGGATGCAACATCATTATTGCATGCAATACTTTGACATCGTTCCACTTTTTTGCATCATCTTTATTTATTTGCATGTAAATCCTGAGCATTAATGGACCGCTAATAATAATGATGATGATGTCAGGTTTTACAATGTATTGTAACATAATATAGCTGAGTCATGCACTGCTAATAGGTTTCTATTGGAAATGCTGAGTCATGCATTAACTGTATATGGGGAATCATTTGGGGAATGTGTTCTGGCCTAGTCCAGGTGATTGTGAATGATGTAATCCTGGGTCTGCGTTAAGTTAATGAGTTTGGAACCAATCAGAGATTGCTATGTGTAAAGTTACAGAATTGTATATAAGGAAGTCATGTACAGTGTATTTCATAGAATCACAGCACAAGGAGAGGAAAAATACACTGTACATGACTTCCTTATATACAGAATTGTATATAAGGAAGTCATGTACAGTGTATTTTCCTCTCCTTGTGCTGTGATGCTGTTCGTCGAAGGCTCTATGTAATTGATTAAAAGAACCTGTCTGCTAAGACAAGATATAAACGTGTGCTGTGGTAAGTTTGTAGTGTCATCTAGATTGGAGGGGAAAACAATAGTAAAACTGACAATGGCCGGGCATGTGCTCAAGTGCCTGTAAAGAGTTCCAGAGTGACTGCAGTTTGTGGGAGCAGTTGACTGAAAATACTGTGCAGGGAGAAGCTATTGGAAAGCGCTGAAGTTGTGCAACTGATCTGCTGCTGAATTGTGAAATTAATCTCAACAAATAAACTTTATTTATACCCCGCCACCATCTCCCCGATGGGGACTCGGAGCGGCTTACATGGGGCCAAGCCCGAACATCATATTACATCAAAATAAAACCAAAACAAAAAACAACAAGCAACACCATCAAAATTACATGAAAAAAACACAACAAAATAGCATTACAATAAACAAAAGCTTACTTGGCAATCTGCCGGTAGTCCTCCCGATTCTCGCGCCCGACGTCGATAGCCTGCTCACAGAGTTCCCGGCACTTGTTGTAATCTCCCATCTCAAAATAAACAGCTGGAGGGAAAGCGAGAGGAGAAACTTGGACACATGGACACAGGGAAGGAGGAAAATGGCATTGGCTGGAAAGAGGGCTTTCCTTCGTATTTTAACCTCTGGCATTAGAGCAGCGTTTCTCAACCTGGGGGGTTGTGAGGGGATTTCAGAGGGGTGATATTTATATTAAATATAATATATTTATATTATATAATGATCTTGTTTAACTAATTTATGTATTATTATATATAATAATTATTTATATAAATAAAAATGTCATGTTTGTTTGTGGGATTAACAGAACTCAGAAACCACCTGGGGAATTGACACCAAATTTGGACAAAAGACACCTAACAACCCAATGTATGTCCTTCACTCAAAAAATCCCTCTCCCGAAACCAAGGGTATTCAAATTTAGGCCAAATTTGTGCCAAATTTGGTCCAGAGAAGTTATGGTTGGGGTCACCACAACAAGAGGAACTGTATTAAGGGGTCGCGGCATTTATTTATTTATTTACGACATTTATATGCCGCCCTTCTCATCCCGAAGGGGTCTCAGAGCGGCTTACAAGTAAAAAGTAAATACAATATATTATATTATTACCATAGCACAATATTAATATTATATATTATATTGTACTATACATTGTACTATAACGTTATACTGTAATATAATTACATTTAATTACATTTAATATAAAATATATAATTATAATATCATATTATTAATAGTAGTATTATATTGTATTACATTATAATATTATCAATATTATATGTATATACATTATATTATATTATATTATATTATATTATATTATATTATATTATATTATATTATATTATATTATATACATTAGAGGGAAAAGAAGAGCAGCCGGCGCCTATTGGTCATAATCCACTCCATGCCATCTCACCTTCCTTCTTGAGTATTATCTTTTTTCAGATTATACATCTAAGAGGTACACTTCCTCACCTGCTTGATTGGTGATATAAGTCATGTTGGTTGGGTCCAGCTCCTTTCCTTTATCATAATGCTTCAGGGCTGTTTCAAAGTCTTTCTTCTTGTAGGCCTCATTCCCCAGCTCTTTCTCCTTAAGAGCCTGAAAAGCAAGAGATACGTTTTTCATGAGTGATTATACCATTCTATCTTCCCCCAGGTTGAGAAATGCTTCCTAAGGACATCGAGTCCAACTCCCTTCACTAGAGCGAGAAAACATCATCAAAGCCCTCCTAACAAAGGGCCATCCAGTTATAGATATAGATAGATATACTGTATATACTCGAGTATAAGCTATTTATTATTTTTGTCAGAGATTGACGATATCCAGCGGAAGGAATGCTACATCAAGCAGACACTGAGTTGCAAAATAAGGACTCTGCAGACTTTGAGTTACAAAAGAAACTAAGTTTACTAAGTACATACGACAGACACGTCTTTCTACAGCGAGCTACAATTCAGGAAGAACAACAACGAACTAGTCAAAACCGAAAGCCTCTTCACATCTGCTTATCTTCTCTTGATGAGACTGGCAACTCCCTTCTGTTCTCAGCAAGAACAAACCTTATCTTACTTTTCTCAAGTTCACTTAATCACAGCCTCAAAACATAAACATTTCTGTATGACATTTTCAATTCACAGTAACATCCATCTTGGCAATGCATAGAAGCACATTGAAAAACACATACATAACTAAATTAATCCTGACAATTTTAGATTATTAGTATTCTTTTTATTACATTTATTATTTTACTCTATTATTGGTATTATTACATTTACATTATTTTACTCTATTATTTTATTACATTTATTTTACTGTATTTATTATTATTACATTTATTATTTTAATTTATTATTATTGTTATTATTATTACATTTATTATTTTATTATATTATTATTACATTTATTACTTTATTGTTATTATTACATGCATTATTTTACTCTATTATTGGTATTATTACATTTACTTTATTTTACTCTATTGTTATTTTATTACATTTATTTTATTTTTATTATTATTGCATTTATTATTTTACTTTATTATTGTTATTATTACTCGAGTCAAAGTTATTTATTGTCGAAGGCTTTCATGGCCGGAATCACTGGGTTGCTGTAGGTTTTTCCAGGCTATATGGCCATGTTCTAGAGGCATTTTCTCCTGACGTTTCACCTGCATCTATGGCAAGCATCCTCAGAGTTAGTGAGGTCTGTTGGAAGTAGGAAAAAGGGTTTATATATCTGTGGAATGACCAGGGTGGGACAAAGGACTTTTGTCTGCTGGAGCTAGGTGTGAATGTTTCAACTGACCACCTTGATTAGCATTTACTGGCTTGGAAGTGCCTGGAGGGAATCTTTTGTTGAGAGTGATTTGATGTGCCTGATTGTTTACTCTCTGTTGTTTTGCTGTTGTAAATTTTCATGTCAGACTACACAGAGAAGCCATTGAAATCCACAAGCATGTGGACAATTTCAACAGAAAGGAAGAAACCATGAAAATGAACAAAATCTGGCTACCAGTATTAAAAAACTCTAAAATTACAACAGCAAAACAACAGAGGGGAAACAATCAAGAACATCTAATCACCTCTCAACAAAAGATTTCCCCCAGGCACTTCCAAGCCATTAAATGCTAATCAAGGTGGTCAGTTGAAACATTCACACCTAGCTCCAGCAGAAAAGAGCTCTTTGCCCCACCCCAGCCATTCCACAGATATATAAACCTATTGTCCTAATTCCAACAGACCTCACTACCTCTGAGGATGCTTGCCAAAGATGCAGGTGAAACGTCAGGAGAAAATTCCTCTAGAACAACGCCATATAGCCCAGAAAAACCTACAACAACCCATTATTATTACATTTATTTACTTTATTATTGTTATTATTACATTTATTATTTTACTCTATTATTGGTATTATTAGGTTTACATTATTCTATTATATTATTTTATTACATTTATTTTAAGAGTGAAAGAGGGACTATACTTCTTTTGACGAAACAGAGCAATAAAATTAAATACTAATAGTACAGCGATTGGTGTTAGGCACCAATGGTTCCTCCTGGTTGAGGGCCACAGGCAGTACCTGCTTCTTATTCTCTGGCAGATCCTCCTCCATCGGCTCAGGCTTGGGCTCCTTCTTTGGGGGCGGAGGAGGCGGAGGAGACATGGCTTCGTCCTCGTCATCTGCACCAGCTAAGTCAACGCCAAGCAGCACCCCGAGGGTCGTCATCACTCGTGGGTCTTTCAGTTTCCTATTAGGAAGCAAATGGCCAGGATTCAGAGGATAGGTGACACTTGTGCATGAGCGTGCAACATAATTTTTACATCATAAGAGCATAAACACCTTCCCCAATGGGTTAAACCTGCGTTTCTCAACCCCTGTGGTGGTTGCAAGGAGGTGTCAGAGGGGTCGCCAAAGACCATCAGAAAACACAGTATTTTCTGTTGGTCCTGAGGGTTCTGTGTGGGAAGTTTGGCCCAATTCTATCATTGGTGGGACTCAGAATGCTCTTTGATTATAGGTGAACTATAAATCCCAGCAACTACAACTCCCAAATGGAAGGTCTATTTCCCCCATACTCCACCAGTGTTCAGATTTGGGCATATTGAGTATTCATGCCAAGTTTGGTCCAGATCCATCATTGTTAGAGTCCATGGTGCTCTCTGGATGTAGGTGAACTACAACTGCCAAACTCAAGGTCAATGCCCACCAAACCCTTCCAGTATTTTCTGTTGGCTATGGGAGTTCGGTGTGCCGAGTTTGGTTCACTTCCATCGTTGGTGGAGTTCAGAATGCTCTTGGATTGTTGGTGAACTATAAATTCCAGCAATTACAACTCCCAAATGACAAAATCACACACACACCCCAACCCTACTAGTATTCAAACTCAGGTGTATAGGGTATTTGTGCCAAGTTTGGTCCAGATCCATCATTGTTAAGAGTCCGTGGTGCTCTCTGGATGTAGGTGAACTACAATTCCAAAACTCAAGGTTAATGGCCATCAAACCCTTCCAATATTTTCTGTTGGCCAAGGGAGTTCTGTGTGCTGAGTTTGATTCACTTCCATTGTTGGCGGAGTTCAGAATGCTCTTTGATGATAGGTGAACTATAAATCCGAGCAACTACAACTCCCAAACGTCAAGGTCTATTTCCCCCAAACTCCACCAGTGTTCAGATTTGGGCATATTGAGTATTCATGCCAAGTTTGGTCCAGATCCATCATTGTTTGAGTCCACAGTGCTCTCTGGATGTAGGTGAACTACAGCTCCAAAACTCAAGGGCAATGCCCACCAAACCCTTCCAATATTTTCTGTTGGCCAAGGGAGTTCTGTGTGCTGAGTTTGATTCACTTCCATCGTTGGTGGAGTTCAGAATGCTCTTTGATGATAGGTGAACTATAAATCCCAGCAACTACAACTCTCAAATGTCAAGGTCTATTTTCCCCAAACTCCACCAGTGTTCAGATTTGGCCATATTGAGTATTCATGCTAAGTTTGGTCCAGATCCATCACTGTTTGAGTCCACAGTGCTCTCTGGATGTAGGTGAACTACAACTCTAAAATTACAAAATCATTTCCCCCAACCCCACTAGTATTCAAATTTGAGCATATTGGGTATTAGTGCCAAATTTGGTCTAGTGAATACATCCTGCACATCAGATATTCACATTATGATTCATAACAGTAGTAAAAGTAGAGTTATGAAGTAGCAATGAAAATAACGTTGTGGTTGGGGGTCACCACAACATGAGAAACTGTATTAAGGGGCCGCGGCATTAGGAAGGTTGAACCCTTATGCCAGCAGGACTGCTGACTGAAAGGTCAGCGGTTCGAATCAGGGAAGTGGGGTGAGCTCCCGTCTGTCAGCTCCAGCTTCCCATGCGGGGACATGAGAAATGCCTCTCACAGGATTCTCTCACACCAGAAGCGACTTGAAGTTTCTCAAAACAAAAACAAAAAAATCATCTCTCCCTCCTTAAGCCACTTACGCTCCCAGTTCGGAGGGCTTGTTGCGGAGCTGCTCTATCAGTTCCCTGTAACTTGGATCACTGAGCAGGCCTCTGGTGCGGGGGTCACTCTCCAGTTTCTGGAACAGGTTGGGCATGTTGAAAGGGTTCATGAAATTCCTTTCTGGGATTGGGAAAAGAGGGGAAAAGAAAGAAACATTACTCTTCCCTTCCGCCATTTAGAGCTGCAAACTGTGAAAAACAATTACCTCGTGGAAAGCATCAAGTTTGTCGTTACCTGCCTACATCGATCACCTTTTTTGGGAAACAGCCAGGAGGGAAATACCGTATATATTCACATGTAAGTCAACATCATATATAAATCAGGCATTATTTATTTATTTACTGTATTTGTATACCGCCTTTCTCAGCGAATCGGCGACTCAAGGCGGTTTCCAACAAATCAGTACATATAAAAAACAATACAGATTAAAACATTAAACAATATAAAACACCACAAAAGCAATAAAAACAACATCATTCGCGTCTCCTTATTATCAAGCATTGTCCAGTTCCATTGTCAAATTGTTCGATTTCCTATTATTAGCTACTCTGCATTTGTAAACGCTTGCTCAAACAGCCATGTTTTAACTTGCCTCCGAAACATTAAGAGGGAGGGAGCAGATCTGATCTTCCTAGGGAGGGTGTTCCATAGCCGAGGGGCCACCACTGAGAAGGCCCTGTCTCTCGTCCCCGCCAAACGTACTTGAGACGAAGGCGAGACCAAGAGCAGGGCCTCCCCAGACGATCTTAGAGTCCTTGATGGTTCGTATGGGGAGATACGTTCGTTTAGGGCTTTATAGGCCAAAGCCAGCACTTTGAATTGGGCCTGGTAGCAAACCGGCAGCCAGTGGAGCTGGCGCAACAAGGGGGTTGTACGCTCCCTGAGCGCTGCTCCTGTTAACAACCTGGCTGCTGTTCGTTGGACTAGTTGAAGCTTCCGGACCGTCTTCAAAGGCAACCCCACGTAGAAGGGCGCTTTCTCCAAATCACTGCACCACACAACCTTGCAGCTTCAAAGCCTGGCTGCATCCTGCCTGGGGGAATCCCTTTTTGAGAGGTGTTAGTTGGCCCTGATTGTTTCCTGCCTGGATTTCCCGTTTTCTGATCAAAGGATTCTCCCAGGCAGGAAACAGCCTTGCTTTGAAGCTGCAAGGCCATTCAATGGGTAAATTTGAAAGAGAGCCATACAAACAAGGAGGAAATTACATACATCTCTTTCCCCTCCCGGCTTGACCCCATTATAAGCCAAGGAAGGCTTTTTCAGCTCATATAAAGGGCTGAAAAACTTGGCTTATCTTCAAGTATATATGGTATACACAATAATACAAGTCAAAGAATAATTTCCAAAAGTAGGCAAAAAGATAGTATAAAAAGGAACAACGTGAGCCATGGCTCTCATTTCCCTGACCTGCCAACCTGGACTCCATGTTTTGCAGCCCTTCCTTCAGTTGCGCATTGCCCGGCTCATGTTTCAATCCTTCTGCATAGGTCTTCTTGGCCTCCTCAAAGCGGTTCAGAAATTCCAAGGCAGCCGCTTTTCGGGAGTAACCCTAAGAAGTACCAGAAAGGAGCCTGGTCAGGGAGCATACTGGGAGATCACGATGGATCCGCAACCTTTCAATCTACTGTATATACTCGAGTATAAGCCTAGTTTTTCAGCCCCTTTTTTGGGCTGAAAAAGCCCCCCTCAACTTATACTCCAGTCAAGGTTATTTATTATTTTACTCTGTTATTAGTATTATTTATTATTTAATCTTTTACTCTATTTGTTATTATTAATTTACATTATTTTACTCTATTATTATCATTATTACATTTATTATTTTTCTCTATTTATTATCGTTTTATTACATTTTTATTGTACTCTATTATTATTACATGTATTATTTTACTCCATTATTATTTTATGACATTTATTATTTTACTCTATTATTATTATTATTAGTTATTGTTGTTACTACATTTGTTATTTTGCTCTGTTATTACTGTTATTCTTACATTTCCATTATTTTATTATTATTTTTATGACATTTATATTTCTCTATTATCATTTTATTACATTTTTATGGTACTCTATTATTATTACATGTATTATTTCTCAATTATTATAATATTTATATTATATTACTCCATTATTATTTTATGACATTTATTATTTTACTCTATTATTACTATTATTATTGTTATTACATTTGTTATTTTACTCTATTATTACTGTTATTCTTACATTTCCATTATTATTTTACTCTATTACTATTTTATGACATTTATTTTTCTCTATTTATTATCATTTTATTACATTTTATTGTACTCTATTATTATTACATGTATTATTTTACTCAATTATTATTATAATATTTATATTACTCCATTATTTCATTACATTTATTATTTTACTCTATTATTACTATTATTATTGTTATTACATTTGTTATTTTACTCTATTATTACTGTTATTCTTACATTTCCATTATTTTATTATTTTATGAGATTTATTTTTCTCTATTTATTATCATTTTATTACATTTTTATTGTACTCAATAATTATTATATTTATATTATATTACTCCATTATTATTTTATGAAGTTTATTATTTTACTCTATTATTACTCTTATTATTTTATGACATTTATTATTTTACTCTATTATTACTATTATTACTGTTATTACATTTGTTATTTTACTCTATTATTACTGTTATTTTTACATTTCCATTATTTTACTCTATTATTATTTTTATGACATTTATTTTTCTCTATTTATTATCACTGTATTACATTTTTATTGTACTCTATTATTATTACATGTATTATTTTACTCTATTATTATTATTATATTTACATTATACTACTCTATTTTATTACATTTATTATTTTACTCTACTATTATTATTATTATTACTATTATTGCTATTACATTTGTTATTTTGCTCTATTATTACTGTTGCTCTATTATTTTGCTCTATTTACATTTCCATTATTTTACTCTATTATTATTTTATGAGCTTTATTATTTTACTCTCTTTATTATTATTGGAAGGATACACAAGCACATTTACACTGAAGGAGGTTAGAATAATGTTTTAATCAGAATTCGACATAAAATTACAGTTTTATGTAAAAATTCAAAAACATTTCATCTCCTGATGCCTCAATTAACTTAATTTAATTGGTATCTATTTTTTTATTTTGAAATTGGACCAATAGCTGCTGCATTTCGCACCCTTGGCTTATACTTGAGTTAATACGATTTCCCAGTTTTTTGTGGTAAAATTGGGCACCTCAGCTTATGTTCGGGTAGGCTTACACTCAAGTATATACAGTAAATAATCATTGATCACACTAATTATTTTAATAAGGAGGATCCCAACAGCAAACACACATGACCAGGCTGTATCTGAAGTGTGTTTAATGCATGCAAATAGTATTCAGAAACACTACTGGTCAAGCAGCACCAAAACAGGACAAGGAGTGGAACTGCATCATGGAGATCTTCTCACCTTGCCCCACTCTGGCTTCAGCTCAATGGTCTTACAAGCATCTTCCAAGGCCTTCTGATACTCCCCTTTCTTGGCATAAGCAGCAGACCGATTGCTGAACAGCACGTGGTTGGCAGAGTCCAATTTGATGGCCTCCGAGTAGTGCTTGATTGCTTCAGCCGTGTTGCCGGAGCTCAGGGCTTTGTTACCCTTCTCCTTCAATTCATTCACCTGAGAAACGGGGGGGAAAAAACATTGAGTATTCGGTGTGCTAGTAACCCACTAAAACAATCTATTTCTCCACTGAACTACTTCTCATCAATCATAAAGCATCCAGGACACATTACTTCCAAGTCCTGTAAGGCTTGTTGTCACCATACTCACAGTCCAAGGTGCTGAACTGGTATTATCTATATAAATAAAAATGTAATCTTCGTTTGTGGGATTAGCATAACTCAAAAACCACTGGACAAATTGCCACCAAATTTGGACACAAGACACCTAACAACCCAATGTATGTCCTTTACTCAAAAAAATTGATTTTGTCATTTAGGAGTTGTAGTTGCTGGGATTTATAGTTCACCTACAATTAAAGAGCATTCTGAACTCCATCAATTATGGCATTGAACCAAACGTGGCAAACAGGACTCCCATGACCAACAGAAAATACTGGAAGGATTTGGTGGGCATTGACCTTGAGTTTGGAAGTTGTAGTTCACCGACATTTAGAGAGCACTGTGGACTCAAACAATGATGGATCTGGACCAATTCTACAAGCATACTCAATATGCCCAAATGTGAACACTGGTGGAGTTTGGGGAAAATCTAATCTTGACATTTGGGAGTTATAATTGCTGGGATTTATAGTCCACCTACAATCAGAGAGCATTCTGAACCTCACCAACGATAGAATTGGGCCAAACCTCCCACACAGAACCCCCATGTAGGCCACAACAACGCATGGCAGGGAACGGCTAGTCTATATAAATAAAAATGTAATGTTCGTTTGTGGGATTAACATAACTAAAAAAACACTGGATGAATTGACACCCAATTTGGTGACAAGACACCTACTAACCCAAGGAGTGACCATCACTAAAAAAAATTTGATTTTGTCACTTGGGAGTTGTAATTGCTGGGATTTATAGTTCACCTACGATTAAAGAGCATTCTGAACTCCATCAATGATGGAATTGAACCAACCGTGGCAAACAGGACTCCCATGACCAGGGGTCCTCAAACTAAGGCCCGGGGGCCGGATGCGGCCCTCCAAGGTCATTTATCCGGCCCTCGCTTAGGGTCGACTTAAGCCTGAAATGACTTGAAAGCACACAACAATAACAACAATTCTATCTCATCAGCCAAAAGTAGGCCCACACTTCCTATTGAAATATTAATAATTTTATATTTGTTGAAATTGTTCTTCATTTTAATTATTGCATTGTTTTAAAGTGTTTTTTTTGCACTACAATTAAGATATGTGCAGTGTGCATAGGAATTCATTCATGTTTTTTTCAAATTATAATCCAGCCCTCCAACAGTTTGAGGGACTATGACCTCGCCCTCTGTTTAAAAAGTTTGAGGACCCCTGCCCATGAACAACAGAAAATACTGGAAGGATTTGTGGGCATTGATCTTGAGTTAGGGACTTGTAGTTTGCCTAGACCCAGAAAGCACTGTGGAATCAAACTATGATGAATCTGCGCCAAACTTGGCACGAATATTCCATATGCCCAAATGTGAACACTGGTGGAGTTTGGGGCAAATAGACCTTGACATTTGGGAGTTGTAGTTACTGGGATTTATAGTTCACCTACACTCAGAGAGTGTTCTGAACCCCACCAATGACAGAATTGGGCCAAACTTCCCACACAGAACCCCCATGACCAACAGACAATACTTAAAGCCATCTGGAAAAGCCAGACATATAATTTTCCTGTTACCCCCGGTGTGCCATTACACCAACCATTCTTACAAACTCTGAGGATGCCCTGCATAGATGTGAGTGAAACGTCAGGAGAGAATGCTGCTGGAACGTGGCCATAAAGCCCAAAAAATTCACAGCAACCCAGTGATTCCAGCCATGAAAGCCTTCGACAACAAGTTGTAAACAGTTGCAGTTGACAGAACACACAGTATCTTTGAACCCTGTGTATCCATATACAATATGCATGCTGCACCACCAGCCCCATAAAGAAATGCAGTGGGGGACTGACATGTTATTAGGTCTGAGTCACTATTTCCTCAGGTCGCTCCCTCCATTAATGAGTTCCAGAAGAAGCAGGGGAGGCCACAGCATTGCCAACCTGTATGAATTTGCAGCTCGCAATCTGCCAATGTAAATACATCCATGTCTCTGTGGCATGCGAGGCTGCTCCTGGAGGCAATGGCAAGCTGGAGGCGGCTCCTCCTGAATCACCATTCCATTCAAACAGGGACTGACAGCTGAAATTACAGATGGCTGACAAAATGAATCTCTACTGATTTGGGAGAAACATCCAGGCTATATGTCAGGACTCAAGGAAGCTCCTATCAGATTGGCTTTAGGGAAGACACAACTGCATAATGATGCACGGAAAGATTTAATTTAGTGATATATATATTTTTTTAAAAAATAATAATTTGGCAATTAATCGATGGAGGAAAAAGTCTGCAAGCAAAGCTGGAAGTGGTGTGTCCTCTTAGGAAAATATACTGCTTTTAGCTAAGTAAGAGGTAAATAATAATAATAATAATAATAATCTTTATTTATACCCCGCCACAATCTCCCCAATGGGGACTCAGAGCGGCTTACATGAGGTCAAGCCCAAACAACAAAGACCGAAAACGCAAACCGAAAATGCAAACAAAGCACAACATCCTAATAACATAAAACATGTGAATAAATAATGATATAAAATTACATTAACACAATCACGACAGTGGGCGGGCTACATGTAATGATTAAAAGAAAGAAAGACTCATTAAAATTGGTTAAAAACTCAGGCGAGATAAAAGAGAAACCAATTGTTTGCGGAGGAGGACTCGCTATAGTGGGGATTGTGGGATCAAACTTTCCCACGGGGGGAGGGGGGATGTCTAAAGCAGCGGTTCTCAACCTGGGGGTCGCGACCCCCAAGGGGGTCGCTGGGCCATTTTCCGGGGGTCGCGAAGCCGCCTCGGTTGGCCCCCCCCCCCCAAAATGGCTGCCGGCTCCTGTGTGAGCTATAATTCACACAATTGCAATTCCCTAATGTCAGGGTCTATTTTCCCTAAACCCCTCCAGTATTTACTGTGGGTCATGGAAGTCCTGCATGCCAAGTTTGGTTCAATTCTATTGTTGGTGGCATTCAGAATGCTCTTTGGTGCCTGGTGAACTATAACTCACACAACTGCAATTCCCAAATGTCAGGGTCTATTTTTCCTAAACCCCTTCAGTATTTTCTGTGGGTCATGGAAGTCCTGCATGCCAAGTTTGGTTCAATTCTATTGTTGGTGGCATTCAGAATGCTCTTTGGTGCCTGGTGAACTATAATTCACACAATTGCAATTCCCAAATGTCAGGGTCTATTTTTCCTAAACCCCTCCAGTATTTTCTGTGGGTCATGGAAGTCCTGCATGCCAAGTTTTGTTCAATTCTATTGTTGGTGGTGTTCTGAATGCTCTTTGGTGCCTGGTGAACTATAATTCACACAATTGCAATTCCCAAATGTCAGGGTCTATTTTTCCTAAACCCCTCCAGTATTTTCTGTGGGTCATGGAAGTCCTGCATACCAAGTTTGGTTCAATTCTATTGTTGGTGGAGTTCTGAATGCTCTTTGGTGCTTGGTGAACTATAATTCACACAAGTGCAATTTCCAAAAAGTCAGAGTTGAATCGGTTGGCGGTAATTCCAATCCCTTCATCCATTGTCCATACTCCCCCAAACATACTGTTTTTATCATTAATCACTATGTTTTAATTATGTTCAATTTGTAACAATGGAAATACATCCTGCATATCAGATGTTTACATTACAATTCATAACAGTACAGTTATGACGTAGCGACAAAAATATGGTTGGGGGTCACCACAACATGAGGAACTATATTTAGGGGTCACGGCATTAGAAAGGTTGAGAACCACTAGTCTAAAGGTTTCCCCTCCACATTAAGTAAAGTCGTGTCCCGCTCCGGAGGGTGGTATTCATCCCCATTTCTAAGCCGAAGAGCTGGCGTTGTTCACAGACACCTCCAAGATCATGACTGCACGGAGCGCTGGTACCTTCCTGCCGAAGCGGCACCTATTGAGCTACTCACATTTGCATGTTTTTGAATTGCTAGGTTGGCAGAAGCTGGGGCTAACAGTGGGAACTCACCCCGCTCCCTGGATTCAAACTGCCGACCTTCTCTACGTGTAAAGTGTACCACATCTATATAAATAATAACATAATGTCCGTTTGTGGGATTAACATAACTCAAAAACCACTGGATGAATTGACACCAAATTTGGACACAAGACACCTAACATTTAATGTATGTCCTTCACTAAAAAAATAACAGATTTATAGTTCACCTACAATCAAAGAGCATTCTGAACCCCACCAATTATGGCACACAGTTCTCCCATGACCAACAGAAAATACTGGAAGGGTTTGGTGGGCAGTGTCCTTTGGTTTTGGAGTTGTAGTTCACCTACATCCAGATATTACTGTGGACTCAAACAATGATGGATCTGGACCAAACTTGGCACAAATACTCAATATCCCCAAATCTACTCACATTTGCATGTATTACTGGGCTTGGCCTCATGTAAGCCGCCCCGTGTCCCCTTTGGGGAGGTGGTGGCAGGGTATAAATAAAGATTATTATTATTATTATTAATAATAATAATAATAATAACAGTAGCAAAATGACAGTTATGAAGTTGCAACGAAAATAATTTCATGCTTGGAGGTCACAACATGAGAAAACCGTATTAAGGGATTGTGGCATTAGGAAGGTTGAGAAACGTTGCTTTAGTTAATGACTTCACCCATGATTTGGAAGTATGTTAACTGCATTTCTCAAACAGTATCCCTCTGGAAAATTCAGAACATGTTGCAACATGTGGTTCTGTGACTGTCACTTAACTCTCCCAACTGTTTCAAGCAACAGAAACTGTGATCAAGAAACTAAAAACTGTGTACTAAAAACTGACCAGTAGCTGTTTCTCATGGGGAGAGCAATCCTAGGAAAGGAAAATAAATAAAGCTAGGAAATAAATAAATAATA